TAAACCCTAGAAGTACACTAGCCCTAAACCCTAAACCCTAAACCCTAAACCCTAAACCCTAAACCCTAAACCCTAAACCCTAAACCCTGGCCCTAAACCCTAAACCCGAAACCCTAAGACACTAAACCCCTAAATTCCTATACTCCCAAGGCGTGAGCAAAAGCACCTCGCGGGAGTCGGAGCTCCTTGGCTCTATTTTTGGGTTTTAGGGTTTAGGGTTTAATTAGGGTTTGGGGTTGTTTAGGGTTTTAGGGTTTTTGGGTTTAGGGTTTAGGGGTTTGAGGGTTTTAGGGAGGGTTTAGGGGTTGAGTGCCTGGGGCTGAGGGCTTAGTGCTCGGGGCACTTGGTGCTGAGGGTTTAAGGCTTTGAACGTGAGATTTAAGGATTCAGGGTGTGCCAGGATAGAGGGAGGGGGGGGATGGGGCGGACGAAGCGCCTGAACAACTCCTCCACACGAACGCCTGAGCACCATTGTTTTTTGGGTTCAGGGTTTATATAGGGTTTGGGCTTTGGGGGCTTTTGGGGTTCCGCAAATTGTAACCCTTAAATCCATAAAACCCTGAACGCTAAACCCAAGCCCCCTCTAACCACAGATCCCTTACACCGTAACCCTTCAATCCCTAGACTTGAGATGTTCCCCCTTGTACTAACAGTCCTGAATAGGGATATTAAGAACTATAATTGTAAACGCTTGCGCGCGCCGCCTCGGCAGCCGGGCCAACCCACAGGAAAGGAGGAAAGAGGGCTTCAAAAAAAGTGGAGGGGGGGGTGCAGGCAGTCCAGAAATGGTCCCGCCCAGGGAAAAGTCCCAAAAAGGTCCCAGGGGACTCGCATGGACCGCTCCCTCTCTAGGAGCCGCCGACAGGAGGGACCCCCCACGGCATCGGTTTGCAGCTCCTCCAAGGGATGGGGGGGGGGGGTCCCACAGGGTTGGGGGGGGGGTTGCGTCATTAAAGTTTGTGGGAAGGGTTGGGTTAGGGTCCGGGTCTGCTTGTTCCAAACGCTTCTCGGCAGGAAGCCGAGGCGAAATAATCCCTATAAAGGACGGTTAGTATAAGGGGAACGTCCCTAAACCCTAAGCCCTAAACCCCCTAAACCCCCTAAACCCCCTAAATCTAAACCCTAGGGATCTCTTGCACCGCATGAACCCTAAAACCCACAACCCTCAACCCTAAACCCTAAACCCTAAACCCTAAGGGGGGCAAGGTCACTCCTCAAGTCGGTGAACCCGGGCGCCATGTCAGCTGGCGCTGCCTGGCGCATCCTGGCTTTCACATGGCTACCTGTTTAGGGTTTAGGGTTTAGGGTTTAGGGTTTAGGGTTTAGGGTTTAGGGTGAAGCGTTTAGGGTTTAGGGCTACCCAGATCTTCCAAAACCCCTTCATTCAGGAATATACCCAAACCCAGAATCATGATCTTTAGCATAAAGTAGGGTATATTCCAGGTAGCCATGCTTACGCATGGCTACCTACTAGTTACGTGGGAAGGGTTTACGGCGTTTACGGTTTAGGGTTTTAGCGTTTTAGGGTTTAGGGTTTAGGGTTCAGGGTTTAGGGAAGTAGGTGCCCTACATATTTCCGAAAAGGGTCATATGGGGGGCCGATGCGGTTCCTCATTCCCGACTTCCCTACTAAAAAACCAGAAAGGTGAGGCCCGCGGCCCATGGGGTTTAAAGGGTTGAGGGGGTTTTGGGTTTCAGGCTGAGGGTTTGGTGTTGGAGGATTCAGGGTTCATAGGCTCCTCTGTTCAGATGTCTAGGGTTCTTAAACCTAAAACCCTAAACCCTAAACCCCAAAGTCCAAACCCCAACCAGTGCACTCCCTTGTCGGGGTCCGCCCATGACCCTTCGAGGAATGCGCCGTCAGAAGAACATGAAGGAGATCCGCGCGAGTGGATGCTCAAGGTTGTGAAAGGTGAAGTTCGGGTAGTCAAATAGCAGGGTAGGCAGATAGGTTGTAGATAAGCTTTCTTGCAGATGCCTAAACCCTAAACCCTAAACCCTAAACCCTAAACCCTAAACCCTAAACCCTAAACCCTAAACCCTAAACCATCCTAAACCCTAAACCCTAAACCCTAAACCCTAAACCCTAAGCCCTAAGCCCTAAGCCCTAAGCCCTAAACCCGAAACCCTAAACCCTAAACCCCAAACCCAAAACCCCAGACCTAAACCCCATTACAGACTTGTTTGCCTGACTTACACTCAGCCCCCCGAGAGGGACACCAACTTAGAGAATCTCAGACCTGAGCATAGAAAGCCCTTCGGGCAGTGACCCCAGAAGCTTGTTTCGGGCTCAGGGTTTAGGGTTCAGGGTTCAGGGTTTAGGGTTTAGGGCTAGGGTTTAGGGTTCAGGGTTTGTGCCAGTGATGGCCTGCGGTCGTGTTTATGGGCAGTTTGCCCTTTCAGAGAGTGGGATGCCGAGCGGAGGCACGCCGCGCAAAGGATCTGAGGCGAGTGGACATGCACCTCAACTATCTTGCGTCGAGTGGGCAGCAGATCCCCTAAACCCCTAAGCACCTTAAACCCCTTGAACCCCTTAACCACAAAACTCCTAAAACCCCTTAACGCTTTTAACCCCCTTAAGCCCCTTAAGCCCCTTAAACCCCTGAAACCCCTCAGCCCCTTAAATCCCTTGAACCCCGTAAACTCCTTAAACCCCAAAACTCCTAAAAACCCTTAAACCCCTTCAACCCCTTAAACCCGTTAAACCCTTCCAATCCCTTAAGCCCCTCAACCCCTTAAACTAAACCCAAAGCCCCAAACCCGAAACCCGAAACCCTAACACTTCCCCTAAGTTTAAGGGTCCATGTACCTATATAGTAGATACTTTGGCCCTAAAGCTACCATATGGGAACCCCTTTAAGCCCCAAGTATATACTAGATGGGTACCCTAAGCCTAAACCCTAAACCCTAAACCCTAAACCCTAAACCCGAGACCCTAAACCCTGAACCCTAAACCCTGAACCCTAAACCGAAACCCTGAACCCTAAACCCTAAACCCTAAACCCAAAACCCTAAACCCAAAACCCTAAACCCTGAACCCTAAACCCTGAACCCTAAACCCTAAACCCTAAACCCGAAACCCTAAACCCTAAACCCTAAACCCGAAACTCTAAACCCTAAACCCTAAACCCTAAACCTAAACCTAAACCCTAAACCCTAAACCCTAAACCCTAAACCCTAAACCCTAACCCTAAACCCTAATCCCTAAACCCTAAACCCTAAACCCTAAACCCTAAATCTTAAACCCTAAACCCTGATCCCTAAACCCTAAACCCTAAGCCCCAAGCCCTAAACCCTAAACCCTAAACCCTAAACCCTAAACCCTAAACCCTAAACCCTAAACCCTACATGGACCCTTAGGGTTCTTACACCCAACACCGCGCACGGAAGGAGATCCAAGCCTCCCAGGTCCTGGAGGTATCGTCAGGGCATCGGTTTAGGGTTTAGGGTTTAGGGTTTAGGGTTTAGGGTTTAGGGTTTAGGGTTTAGGGTTTAGGGTTTAAGGTTTGGGGGGCTTGGGGCTTGAGGATTTCGGGGCTTGGTGGTCGCGTTTGCGGCTTTCACGAGGTTTTTTTTTGAACTGAGGGCGCCGGCCTCTTTGCTTGTGTCAGGCTCTGAGGTTTCTGGAGTTTTCCCCTCTCCCCCCCCTAGGGTTTAGGGTTTAGGGTTTAGGGTTTAGGCTTTAGGGTTTGTGGGTTTTAGAGTTCATGCCTCTCGGGCTTGTGGACAAGAGGATGGCATGTAAGCTCCTCAACCCCCCTGCATCTGCAAAGCTTTCAAGCCCCTATCCCCAAACCCTAAACCCTGAACCCTAAACCCCAAACCCTATACCCTAAACTTTTGGGTTTAGGGGGTTTAAGGGTTTAGGGCTACAGGGTTTAGGGTTTAGGGCTCACCCTAAGCTCTAAACCCTACACCCTAAACCCTAAACCCCAAACCCTAAACCCTAAACCCTAAACCCAAATCCCAACACCCTTAATCCTAAACCCTGAACCCTAAACCTCACGAGGCTTTGGACAAGGACCAGGCCCTGCAGCAGCTCTTCGAAGAGCCGATCACTTCGGTGGCGCCCCGGCGGGCAGGGGAGGAGTGGAGGAAGGTTTAGGGTTAAGGGTTTAGGGTTTAGGGTTTAGGGTTTAGGGTTTAGGATTTAGGGTTCAGTGATTTTAGGGTTTGGGGTTTAGGGTTCAGCAAACGCCGAGGTTAGCACCCCTTCACATTGTTGAAGCCCTAGAGCCCCTAAACCCTTACCGGGCTGTGATGCTTTTGGGTCTGGCGAGCTTCGGGGCTGTCATGTTCGGCCATGGCTTGTTCTCATGGTAAAATAAATGTTCCTAGAGATTGCTGTCTAAAGGAGGACGAATATAAAGCTAAAGGAATTGGTGGTCTGACAGGTACCAACATGCTTCGTAGTAGGATTGAACTTTGTGTTGCCGGCGTTCGGAGGTCCAGCGCTAAGGACAGCTTGACTTCGGGACGTCGAGCCTGCGGCGATCGCGCAATTTCTTGCACGAGATTGCTTCAGAGTCTGTAGAGTTGGCCTAGTCAAGCTTTTACCATGTCGAGGCGCGTGCCCCATGCCACTGAGTTTGGGGCGGCATCAAGTCAGGATGACCAGGAACATGTGGCGCGAATCATGAGAGACGAGGGTGGCGGCGAGCTCATCCATTCGAATCACGCGTTCTTGTGTGCCACTACGCATCTTGACAGAGACTATGAAATTGATGATCCCGAGTGCGAAATCTGCTTGGCCACTGCGAAGGTCGCAACGCCAAACTGGCGGGATGCTTCCGTGAAGAGCCGAAGAGCAGTTTGCATCGACACCTTCTTCGACAGCAACATTCGGGTACCTGACTCGGCGCCAGGGCGCAAGGCGTGGATGGAGAGAGCACTGGGGGGACTTCACGCAAAGTTGAGGGTCGGGACGCCAACTCAGCGGAGGCCCGCCGTGACCGAGGAAAACATCCGGTACTTTCAAGATCGCCGCCTGGCACGAGAAGATGCGGAGTGCTGCGTGTGGGCCCTCTCTTTTTACACCGGTGAAGGCTCCAAAGAAGCCTCGAGGGCGGGAAGTTTGTGCATCCGCCAGGGCAACATGGTCACAGTCGACCCGGCAGCTCAAGAAATGGTTCAGAACACGGGGCCTGTGCTGTACTTCTTGGTGCGTGCCTTACAGCACCTCCCCTACTGGTGGGGCTCGGCCACACGCTATCTCACGCTCCGCGAAGAAGACAGGGGTCTCTACCAGCCAGGTTGTGACCTGGACACAGTTTTCCAGCAGCTCCAAGACGAAGGAGGGCTCAAAGGCTTTCAGGGGCCGGAACACGAAAGTCATCATCTATTCGCAGAAGGGGCGCTACATTGACCAATTCTCCAACTACTCCAAGCGCGTCGACAGCCGGTTTGACGAGGAAGAAGTGCTGTTCCTGCCGTTCACTCGTCTCCTTGTGTTGAAGAGCGGTCTGGAGCCCGCCCATGGCGGCGACACGCAATTCGTCGTGTATTGCCGTGAGCTTGAGCTGGGTATTACCAGAGTTATTGGCGGCACTCCTTGTGGCTTACCTCTTCTGTGGGTGGACGATAATATCCACGAGGAGACTTTTGAGATGAAGGAGCACATGCAGAAAGCGCAGATCTGCCATCGGCAGGAAACTAAGCTCCTTCTAGTACGCTGTCTGTGTGTGTGTTTTCTGTTTTCCTCTTTGGGGCTACCGTCCGAAACCAACCGAGCACAACAAGGACCCCAAACTAAACCCCCATACTCCCTTATAAGCCCTTATACGCCCTTATAAGCCCTTAAGCCCTTAGCCCTAAAACCTAAACCCTGAACCATAAACCCTAAACCCCAAGCCCTAAACCCTAAGCCCTATAAACCCTAAACCCTAAACCTTAAACTGAACTGGCTGCTTGGTAGACCCAGGAGATCAAGTTCATCTTGAAGCGCAGCACAGAACTGGCCCTGGCTTACATGAAGTCCCCCTTCGGACAATCACATTTCGAGGACTGTTAGAACCCTAAACCCTAAGCCCCAAACCCTACATCTAAACCCTAAACCCTAAACCCTAAACCCTAAACCCCTAACCAACCCTAAACCCTAAACCCTTGAACCCCACGCATGTTTTTGCTCGAAGTTGGACGGCGGTCCCTTCTCATGTGACTTCAGAAGCAGCCAGGGTTTAGGTTTAGGTTTAGGGTTTGCTTATTCTACTTCTTCCTGTTGCAGGCACGTGCCTATACACAGCCGTTTTGGGTATGGCGTCTATAGGATCTTCTTTCATGTTTTCGGTATTTTCGGTACGTATCTCAAATCTGCCTTACTAGTTGCAGGAGGTCTGGGAAAATTGTCGTGGATGCTCAAATTTTTGAAGCGTGCAAAGCTGCATGCAGTTGAACAATTGAGAGCTTTCAGAACTCTCAGCCTTGCGACTTTATGCTTGTCTTCACCAGGCTTTAGATGTTTGCAGGGCGATTTCGGGCGAACAAGTGCAAATTCAGTAAGCCGTAAACGTTAAACTCTACATCCCGAACCCAAAAGTGCCCGCCCTTGATGCAGCAGCGCCAGAACTCCAACTTGCGCGTGACGTCCGACATGACCCGCGACGATGACAGGGAAGCCGGCGCGAAACTTGCCCTTGCGCTGGAGGAGACGCAGCTTCGGGCTCCCAACTTCAAGAACCCCAAACCAACATTCGTTGTAGGTTGCCTCATAAGAATCCTTGAAGGGATTTACAATCAGAACCTATAAACAAAAAGGGTAGCCCAGTGGCACGCTTTACCCTGTTCTTGGTTCAAGGTTCCCTTATAAAGTAACCAACCAAGACAAGGGTACCTTCTTGCAACATGGTTACTCTACTACTAAGAAAGGAAGGTTCGGGGTTTCTTCAGGTAGGGTGGAATTCCGGGCTGCAAGTGTCGTGTTCAAGGTTTAGGACAGGTTTAAGTGGAGAGTTCCCTTTATAGAGGCCTCTGTACACAGGAATCGGGTGTAGAGTTCTTAGGGTTCAGGGTTCAGGGTTTAGGGTTTAGGGTTTAGGGTTTAGGGGTTTCGGGTTTAGGGCTTAGGGGTTTCGGGTATTGCTGCTCACATTAGATTTGGCCATGTCTGGAGGAGCTCAACTTTCAGGGGCCCATGATGATCTTCACAGGCCCCTCAGCCCGAACGAATATGGGTAGTTCTCTAAGTTAGGGTGTCGTTTGGGGTCCCCTAAATAGTACGGCACCCTCAGAAAACAGGATCCCAAAAGGTGGTTAAATTAGAGAGCTACCCATATGCATCTCACTCCCACGAAAATCTCCCCTCCCTCCCCCAACCCAAAGATTTGGAACGATTTGGAACTGCAGATCTTTTGATGAGGATATTTATTTTCGCGGAATGTTGGGGTGGTGAGGATGGAGTTCCAAGCCCTCAGCTGAGCTGCAGGTAAGCCCCAAGCTCTCAACCGTAAACCCTAGCCCCTTAACCCTAAACCCCTTGCCTGTGACATTGGAGTAACCAGCGGGTCGTCCAAAGCCCTTTTAAACCTCCTATAAGTTCCATAAGCCTTCTAAACCCCGGAACACCCCCTCTAGAGGGTGTAGGCTTTCGGGTCCAGGGTTAAGGCCTACAAGGCCTATCAATCCTGTTAACCCTATGAACCTTACTAAACCCTGAAAGATGGGTTTAGGATTAGGGTAAGTAATCTGTCTAGCGAACTACATGGCATTGTTGCCACGGCTGCTCAGCACCCTGCTTGTAGCCTGCAATGTTACGGGGTTTACATGCCCTCGGGTTTACGGTTCATAGTGTTAGGGTTGAGGGTTTAGGGTTTATGAACCGTAACAGGGTTCAGAGGGGTAGTAGGTTTTAGGATTACAAGGGTTAATTTGTTTTTACAGTTTGGAATTATACTGTAGGGTTGAAGCACTTAGTCTGGCGACCCTCCCAAACTCTACACCTTGAACCCCCTTCCTAGCCTGTCGAACCATAGCCACACAGTCGCTTACCGTTTAGTGTTTAGGGAACTCTGGTTTAGGTTTTCAGGCAGACCCTAAACCCTAAACCCTAAACCCTAAACCCTAAACCCTAAACCCTAAACCCTAAACCCTAAACCCTAAACCCTAAACCCTAAACCCTAAACCCTAAACCCTAAACCTAAACCCTAAACCCTAAACCCTAAACCCTAAACCCTAAACCCTAAACCCTAAACCCTAAACCCTAAACCCTAAACCCTAAACCCTAAACCCTAAACCTGCATGGGGCGAAGCAAAGAACCTCGCAAGCAGGCTCCATGGATTGGGCGGCTGAGTCTTTGGTACGACTCGGCTGCAGTCGAAAAGCCACTTGGTTGCTGTTGAGGGCTTTAGGGTTTAGGGTTTAGGCTTTAGGCTTTAGGGTTTAGGGTTTCTCAAAGGGCCCGACGCGCTTAAGCCCTCAACCTTCAACCCTAAACGTTAAAACCCGAAAACCTAAACCCGAAACCCAAAACCCTAGACCCTAAACCGCATCATGCCAATGCCGATGCCTTTCGTTGTGGGAGGAGACGTCTCGGCGACCTCGCGGCACTTGTGCCGAATCCGCGTCGATTCGGTCGAATCCACTGTGTGCGGAAGGAAGCACGCGTTTCTGTGCCCTCGGACACATCTCGACGCCCTGGGGCTCTCTGTTACCTTCGTGTCTTTCTCAGTCTGGTGTCGTGCCTTTGTGTCCTTCCAACACAACGACATAATACACGAGACATTATCTCGTGTCTTCGTCTGTTGTGCCGCATCCCATGTCTGTCTCGTGTTGTGTCTGCGTGAGGTCATATCTTCTGTCGTTGCTCGTGACGTCTCTCAAATCGTGTTCCTCGTTCTCATCTCGCGTCTCGTGTCTCGTGTTTCATGTCTTGCATATAATGTCCTCCGGACGACCACTCTTGTTCTCAAGCTTCGTCAGTTGTTTTCGCATTCGGGCTCGTGGCTCCTTCTCGTCATATGTCTTGCGAAAGCTTCAAAGCTCTGCAGCAGCTCAGGTAGTCAAGACGACAAAAGATACTTTTCTTCGGCGAGATGTGATTCATGTGGTCGTGGCCGTGAGCCCGGTGGAGTCTTTTCTCACATTCGGTCCGATGGCAGGCTAACATTTTCCAGCCGTCAGCACTGCCATTCGGGCAACCGACTCAGGGCCTGCACCACGAAGCAATCATGCTGGTTGCAATCATCTTGGTTGCCCCCTGTGCCAGACATGCAGAGCCCCAAAGCCTCAAAGAGAAGAGATAGCGAAGAACTCCCTTAAGAACGAGGAGAAGCCTAGAATACAGCAACCCCATAAGCGCGAAAGCAAAGCCAAAACCCTTCAGGGGACTATAGCAAGAACCTACAAAAGGCAGGCTTGGGCTTCTGAAGTTGCTTTGCAGCATCAGACCCAAGATGTCACAGGGTACGGGCACGTGTTTCGTGTGACACAGGGGGGAAGCCAAGTGTCAGATACTCTCTTCTGCTACTTGCTTAAGAGCCCACCAGACAATGGAACACATTTGGGATTATTATCTTTTTGGGGGTGGGGGGGGGGGGGGCGGGGCTTAAGCAAGTAGTAGTCTGGGAAGAGTCCAAAGGACGCTTCTTTCCATGGCCTTCACTTCAGACCCGAGCCGAGAAAGCGAGAAGTTGCCCCTGCTTTGGGGTCGCTGCTTTTGGATGGTTGAGGTTTTCAGGGGTTTAGGGTTTAGGGTTTAGGGTTTAGGGTTTAGGGTTGTCGAAGTCTACTGTTCTCTGGCTGAGGTGTTTCAGGTGAGGAGCGGTACTCGCGCCAGGATTGCCCCACAAAACAGCCTGAGGCACCTCAAACCGGTGCCATCTCAACACCCTCCTTCTGGGTAGTTCTCTAAATGTCGGTGTCCTGTTTATAGGGCGGGGGCCCCAAAAGGGAATTGAATGTAGAGAACTGCCCTTACAACCCTTATCATCCGTGTGTCCTTGCTTTCGCTGCAGAACCTGGGAGAGACAGATTCGTTTCATCTCTGTTCACGAAGCCACGAACCACCCCAACCCGAGACCCGTTAAAGCCCCTACAGCCCCTAAAGCCCTACATCCCTAAACCCACAAGCCCTGAAGCCCAAAGAGCCCTAAAACCCTCAAGCTCTAAAGCCCCAAAGCCCCTGAGGCAACCAACAGGCACCCTCTTCCGTGGAAAAGCCCTGAGTTTAGGGTCTTCTTGGCCTGTAGGGCACAGTGAGTTCAGGGTTTAGCGAGTTGAGGGTTTAGGGTTTAGGGCTAGGGTTCAGGGTCAGGGTTTAGGGTTTAGGGTTTAGGGTTCAGGGTTCAGGGTTCAGGGTTTAGGGTTTAGGGTTTAGGGTTTAGGGCCAGGGTTTAGGGTTTAGGGTTTGGGGTTTAGTGTTGAGGGTTTAGGGTTTATGTTTAGGGTTTAGGGTTTAGGGCTAGGGTTTGGGGTTTAGGGTTTAGGGTTTAGGGTTCAGGGTTTAGGGTTCAGGGTCGAACCAACGCTACGAGGCGCTGAGCCCAGCTGACGCCGCGACGGAGTCGCAGCTGGGAGTAATCGGCAGCGGCAGGGGTTTTGAGGGGTTTAGGGTTTGGGGTTTGGGGTTTAGGGTTTGGGGTTTAGGGTTTAGGGTTTGGGGTTTAGGGTTTGGGGTTTAGGGCTGAGGAGTCTTAGATTTTTTTTTCACCCTTCCCGATTCGTTTAGATTGTAGGGATCTCGATAGGGCTTCGCGGGCTGGAAAATGTTAAGGAGCTGGGTGGCTGTAGGCTTTTGCAGTTGCTGGCTAGGGTTTAGGGTTTAGGGTTTATGTTTTAAGTTTTCGGGTTTAGGGTTTAAGGGTTTGGAGTTTAGGGTTTAGGGTTTAGGGTTTAGGGTTCAGGGTTTAGGGTTCAGGGTTTAGGGTTTAGGCTTTAGGGTTTAGGGTTTAGTGTTTAGGGGGATGATGGATGATCTTACCCCCAAAACGATTCAGGTTTTCTGCAAAAAACGACTATTCGCTAGAGGGCCCACTAAACCCTAAACCCTAAACCCTAAACCCTAAACCCTAAACCCTAAACCCTAAACCCTAAACCCTAAACCCTAAACCCTAAACCCTAAACCCTAACCCTCAACCCTCAACCCTCAACCCTCAACCCTCAACCCTCAACCCTCAACCCTCAACCCTCAACCCTCAACCCTCAACCCTCAACCCTCAACCCTCAACCCTCAACCCTCAACCCTCAACCCTCAACCCTCAACCCTCACCCCTCAACCCTCAACCCTCAACCCTCAACCCTCAACCCTCAACCCTCAACCCTCAACCCTAAACCCTAAACCCTAAACCCTAAACCCTAAACCCTAAACCCTAAACCCTAAACCCTAAACCCTAAACCCTCCACAAGCGACGCCAAGGTATTTCTCCCCGACCGACTTCGTCCCGCAGTGGAGTGCTTTGCCGGCCTAAAATGGAGCCCTCACCTCCCCCCCTCCCCTGTTTTAGGGTTTAGGGTTTAGGGTTTGGGGTTTGGTGTTTGGGGTTTAGGGTCCCCCCCCTCTGGTGGTGTCATCTTTTTCTTTGTTTTGGGGATGATGAGATTCACTTATGAGATCTTTTGACCTTGCAAGGTTACTGGGAGCCGAGTTGTCGGTCGGGGTGTGGCAGGGCTTCGGGGCGTTTCGCAGTGTCGGGTTTAGGCTAATGTGGGCTCGGCCTTAGATTAGGAATTTTTACAGCCTGCGTTTATGGGTCAAAAGCCTAACCCCTAAACCCCAGACCCCTAAACCCTAAACCCTAAACCCTAAACCCTAAACCCTAAACCCTAAACCCTAAACCCTAAACCCTAAACCCTAAACCCTAAACCCTAAACCCTAAACCCTAAACCCTAAACCCTAAACCCCAATTTTTGATATTAAAGCAGGGCTTCGGCTCAGAAGCCCTCATTTGTTGGGTTTGGGGTTTAGGGCTTGGGAGCCCCTTCCCCCAAGCCCAACACCCAGGGTTTAGTGTTTAGGGTTTAGGGTTTAGGGTTTGGGGTTTAAGGTTTAGGGTTTAGGGTTTAGGGTTTAGGGTTTAGGGTGAAATAGCTCGGACTCCCCCCTCTTTCTCGTGCCTAGGTGCGGCGCTACCTTGGCCACAGAAGCTTCGGATGTGGCTACAGTCCAGCAGGCTTCAAGCGGCATCAAAGGGTCTAGGGTTTAGGGTTTAGGGTTTAGGGTTTAGGGTAAGGGTTTGTTGGGGTCAGTTTTTCTCGTTTTTCCCCCTGTTGCTGAGGTTCTTTGGGGGTGAGTGAGTCATGGTTTATGCCGGCTTTTTGGAGGGGGGGGGGGCTGCGCGGCCGGGTTTAGAGGTTTGGGGTTACCAGGGCTTATTCGGGTTCAGGGTTTAAAGGGTGGGGAGGGGGGCTCTAGCCTAGCGTGCCCTAGGGGGGGAAGGCATGCCTACCTCAAGCCTCAGAGAACTTAATGAGTACGTAGGTTCTAGGCCTAGGGCCCGCCCTCAACCCGAATCATTCCCAGATACTCTACACATTGGCCCTTGGTCTAGAGTCTAGAGGCATGGTCTCTAAGTTATTGAGTTTTTGTTGTTCCTAACAAGCGGATACAAACCTCAAGCAACGCCCTAGCAGAGCCGAGAACCCTAAACCCCAAACGTTAAAGCCTATACCCTGAAGAAAGGTTTGAGATGCTGATCACCACTGTGCTCTGCATCAACGTGCTGTGGATGGCGCTTGAACTGCAGGTGCCGCAGTGCCTAAGTTTGGGGGTTTAGGGTTTGGGGTTTGGGGTTTAGGGTCTAGGGTTTAGGATTTAGGGTCTGGGGTCTAGGGTTTAGGGTTGGTTTAGGTTTCGAGTTTAGGGTATTTAGGTTAGGTTCAGGGCCTGGGGTTTAGGTTTAAGGTTTAGGGTTCGTAGGTTAGGTTAGGTTAGGTTGAGGGCCTAGGGCTCAGGGTTTGGGGTTTAGGGTTCTTAGGGTTCGGGGGTTTTGGGGTTTAGGGTCTAGGGTTTGGGGATTTGGGGGTTTGGGATTCTTGGGGTTTTGGGGGGACTTGAGGGCGTTGTATGCGCATGTCCTAGAATATGGGCCCCCGAAATGTAGCCCGTAGTTTGCGAAAATCTGGGCTTTTGGCACCGCAGAAGGGCCTACACCCTCAACCCTCAACCCTCAACCCTCAACCCTCAACCCTCAACCCTCAACCCTCAACCCTCAACCCTCAGCCTCAACCCTCAACCCTCAACCCTCAACCCTCAACCCTCAACCCTCAACCCTCAACCCTCAACCCTCAACCCTCAACCCTCAACCCTAAACCCTAAACCCTAAACCCTAAACCCTATGTTTGGGGATCTGGGGTGGGCCCTACACGTTTTTTTTTTTTTTTTTTTTCAGCGCTCTTGGTTCGCAGGAACCCCGAAATCTTCAATCCTGAACCGAGCCCCTCCAAACGCGCTTTAGATCCTGAATCCTACACCCTAAACCCTAGACCCTAGACCCTAGACCCTAAACCCTAAACCCTAACCCTAAACCCTAAACCCTAAACCCTAAACCCTAAACCCTAAACCCTAAACCCGAAACCCTAAACCCTAAACCCTAAACCCTAAACCCTAACTCCTGAGCCCTTGACCCTCAAGCTGCACCAAAGCACCATGCCTGTCTGCAGATCTACGGCTCCTACAGGGGTTACGAGCCCCTTGGCCCGGTCGGGGCTAGGGTTTAGGGTTTAGGGTTTAGGGTTTAGGGCTTAGGGCTTAGGGCTTAGGGTTTAGGGTTGAGGGTTGAGGGTTTAGGGTTTAGGGATAGACTTTGGAGTCTTCTTTGTTACTTAGTAGGGCACATGTGAGTTTGGTATCGGTACCCTCTTTGTAGTTGTAGCCCTATAAAGAGCCCTAGGTTCTCGACCCCCTCTATTGCAGAATAGGTACAAGCTCCAGGTTGGATCGAACCCTGTACCCCACTCCTCTAAACCCAACAGCACGCCCAGAACAGTGAACCCTAAACCCTAAACCCTAAACCCTAAACCCTAAACCCTAAGCCCTAGACCCTAAACCCTAAACCCTAAACCGACCCAGCAAGTGTTGCCAGGGTGGGCGTGGTCGCAGAGAGCCTTGGTCAGGAGGATAGGGTTGAGTTCGTGGTGCTGTCTTGTTTTGGCTTTTGTGTCTAGCATAAACCTAATCGCCCAACTCAGGCACAGCTGAAACCCTAAAGCCTGAACCCTAACCTTAAAACCCAAAACCCAAAACCCAAAACCCAAAACCCAAAACCCAAAACCCAACACCCTAAACCCTGAACCCTAAACCCTAAACCCTAAACCCTAAACCCCTAAACCCCTAAACCCCTAAACCCTAAACCCTAAACCCTAAACCCTAAACCCTAAACCCTAAACCCTAAACCCTATACCCTAAACCCTAAACCCTAAGCTGCAGCCGAGGAGCCCACTGCCCTTGGACTGGACGTCCAGCATCGACATCGCGTTCCGGTTGCCGGGCTGCTTGTTTAGGGTTTAGGGTTCAGGGTTTAGGGTTTAGGGTTCAGGGTTTAGGGTTTTGGGTTTTGGGTTTAGGGTTTTTGGGAGTTTTGGGTTGAGGGTTCTTGGGGGTTCAGGGTCTCGCAGGTTTGGGGCATTGGGGTCTATGGGGTCGGTTGGTTGAATATAGGGGTCTAGGGGTCGGAATAGCTACTAATCATATTCCTTTATGGTCCCTTTTGTAGTTCTACTATGCTGACCCCAAGCCCTATCTAATTATTCAGGCCCCTGTATGAGGGGGTTCAGGGTTTTGAGAGCTTAGGGTTCAGGGTTTCGGTTTTCGGGTTTAGGGTTTGGGGTTTAGGGTTTAGGGTTTAGGGGGGTTCAGGGTTTTGGAGGTTTAGGGGGGGTCTTTGGGGTTTAGGACTTTAGGTGCGGCATAGGGCATGTAGGCAGAGGTGAGTGGTTTGCGAAGATTTCGACAGTCCCCCGTAGGCCCTAAAACCCTGCAAACCTTGAACCCTACACCCTAAACCTTAAACCCCAAACCCGAAACCCCAAATCCCAAACCCCAAACCCTAACCCTAAATCCCAAACCCTTGCTCAACTTAAGTTATGATTGCAAAGGCTCAAGCAGAAAGACCTGGCCAGACTCTACATCCCTGAGCCTTCAAACCCCAAGTCGCCTGTGGGGTTTTAGGGTTTTAGGGTTTTAGGGTTTTTAGGGTTTTTGGGTTTTTGGGTTTTAGGGTTTTAGGGTTTTAGGGTTTTAGGGTTTTAGGGTTTTAGGGTTTTGGGGTTTTAGGGTTTTAGGATTTAAGGGTTTCAGGGTTTTAGGTGTTTTAGGGGTTTAGGGCTTCAGGGCTTTGGGGTTTTAGGGTTTTAGGGGACTTAGGGTTTTGCGGGGCTTTAGGGGTTGTAGGGTTTGAGGTTTTAGGTTTGGGGTTTTGGGGTTGTAGAAGAGGGTCTAGGGTTCGAAGCTTTGGCAGTCAGATCCCAAACACCCCAAGCCTTTAATGCGTGCTATGGCCATGCAAATTGGGTCATTAAGTACAGTTATCCCTAAACCCTAGACCCTAGACCCTAGACCCTAGACCCTAGACCCTAAACCCTAAACCCTAAACCCTAAACCCTAAACCCCAAACCGTTAATAAGTGCCATCGCCGTGCTAAGTGGAGGATTGGTGATGGCATCTTCACCGGCTTCTTCGTCCTCGACGTGGTCGCGCGGATCAGCCTGCTGCGAATGGAGTTCTTCAAGGTGTCAGGGACAGGGTTTGGGGTTTAGGGTTTCTGGGGTTTTGGGTTTAGGGCTAGGGTTTAGGGTTTAGGGTTTAGGGGGTTCAGGGTTTCGGGTTTAAGTGGACCTTCAACCCCCACTAAACCCCCAACCCCCTAAATTCTTTGCGCCTCAAGCTTAAGAACTCGATAGTTAGAAAGGTACCCATGTCTGGTTTTGCAAGCGGAGTTGGAAGCTTGGAAGACCCTTAAGCCAGTAGCCCAAACCCTCCCAACCCCTCCAAACCCTAAACCCGATTTAACCCTGATTCAGGGCTTAGTAGCTCGGTAAATCCCTCAACACCACCCTAAACCCTAAACCCTAAACCCTAAACCCTAAACCCTAAACCCTAAACCCTAAACCCTAAACCCTAAACCCTAAACCCTAAACCCTAAACCCTAAACCCTAAACCCTAAACCCTAAACCCTAAACCCTAACCACCCTAAACCCTAAACCCTAAACCCTAAACCCTAAACCCTAAACCCTAAACCCTAAACCCTAAACCCTAAACCCTAAACCCTAAACCCTAAACCCTAAACCCTAAAAAAACCTTCTATGCAGGTTTGCATGAACTACCTTGATCTCGTCGTGACTGCTGCATCGGTGGTGGAGCTCACTGCCTCGCAGATGACCATGAACCCTATGCTGTTCCGTGCTCCAGCTGCCAAGCTCCAGGGTTGTTTTGGGGTTTGGGGTTTAGGGTTTCGGGTTTAGGGTTTAGGGTTTAGGGTTTAGGGTTTAGGGCTTAGGGTTTAGGGTTTAGGGTTCAGGGGTACCTTCTTGGGGTCCTTATTGTAAGGGAATCCTACTATTTGGGGGTCTATATAGGGGGGTCCCCTTATCTTCGTAAACTCCCCCATGTTGTTCCCTGCCCCAGCTGTAAGCTTCCGAGGTTTGGGGTTTAGGGTTTGGGGTTGGGGGTTTGGGGTTTAGGGTTTGGGGTTTGGGGTTGGGGGTTTGGGGTTGGGGGTTTGGGGTTTTGGGTTTGGGGTTTAGGGTTTGGGGTTTAGGGTTTGGGGTTTAGGGGGATGAGGATGAAAATCAAATTCAAAAAAGAATTAAGTTCGAATTTAATTCATTCTGGACGGGCAGCCCACCCCCCGCAGGCCGAAGGATTCAATTCGAATTTAATTCCTGAAATGAAGCCTCGTAGCACAGCACTTAAGCTTAAAATTGAATTTAATCCTCCTTCCTGCCGGAAGGATTAAATTCAAATTTAAGCTGCCTCAGACGAGGTTGCACGGTCACTCGCACTTCGGTTTTCGCACGCTCGGCCCTTGCTCTACGCTTCGGTTTTTACACTCTCGGCCCTTGCTCCAGCTTGGCGCGCTTCGGCGGCTGCTGGATCACAGGCTCTACTGCATCAAAGTGGTTGAAACCTGTGAACGCCAAGTAGACAGGTGACCCCCACACGTCTTCACTAACCATGTCTGGTGGAATTCTATTGCCATGCAGTGGTGTTGTAGAGAAATCTCTTCCTGCTACTGCAAGGGCGGGAACCCTTTTCGGGTTTGGACTTGGTGAGGGTGTAAGGCTTAAGGGTTTTGGGTTCAGGGTTTGAGGGTTTTGGGTTCAGGGTTTGAGGGTTTTGGGTTCAGGGTTTCAGGGTTTTGGGTTCAGGGTTTCAGGGTTTTGGGTTCAGGGTTTCAGGGTTTTGGGTTCAGGGTTTGAGGGCTTTGGGGTTCAGGGTTTGTTTTGGGTTGAGGGTTTGAGGGCTTTGGGTTGAGGGTTTGAGGGCTTTGGGGTTCAGGGTTTAAAGGTTTTTGGGTTCAGGGTTTGAGGGCTTTGGGTTGAGGGTTTGAGGGCTTTGGGGTTCAGGGTTTAAAGGTTTTTGGGTTCAGGGTTTGAGGGCTTTGGGTTCAGGGTTTGAGGGTTATGGGTTCAGGTTTTGAGGGTTTTTGGGTGCAGGGTTTGAGGGCTTTGGGTTCAGGGTTTGAAGGTCTTCGGTTGAAGGTTTGAGGGTTTTGGGTTCACAGTTTGAGGTCTTAGGGGTTCAGGGTTTTAGGTTGGCTTTGTATTTCTCTACAACACCACTGCATGGCAATAGAATTCGAATTTAACTCACGCGTGCTAAGTACTGTATGGTAATATAATTCGAATTTAATCCCCGCGCGCTAATGACTGTATGGCAATATAATTCGAATTTAATCCCCGCGCGCGAATGACTGTATGGCAATATAATTCGAATTTAATCCATAATTCCGAAAGAGAATTAAATTCAAATACAGAATTAAACCTGCCTGGCAGGGCTTAAATTCGAATTTAAAGCCAAGTCTTCGCGATAAGGATTAAATTCAAATGTAACCCCCTCAACACGGAGCCCTGGTCCTCGCAGGGGCTTAAATTCGAATTAAATTCAGAAGCCATTGGAGGATTAAATTCGAATTTAAACCCCCTCGACGGGCAGATGGATGGCCGCTGAAGCAGGTCTGAAATTCGAATTTAATCTTTATTGAATCTGAAATTCAACCTTATTCGGGTTTAGGGTTTGGGGTTTAGGGTTTGGGGCTTAGGGTTTGGGGTTTAGGGTTTGGGGTTTAGGGTTTGGGGTTTGGGGTTTAGGGTTTAGGGTTTGGGGTTTAGGGTTTGGGGTTTAGGGTTTAGGGTTTGGGGTTTGGGGTTTAGGGTTTGGGGTTTAGGGTTTGGGGTTTAGGGTTTGGGGTTTAGGGTTCAGGGTTTGGGGGTTCGGGTCTCAACTAGACCCGAACCCCTGGCGACCCTTAACCCAGCAAACCCGAAATCCCGAAATCCCTAAACTCGAAAACGCCAAAACCCAAGCCCCGAAACCCTTTTTGTTTAAGAGCCGCCCACGAATTTGAAAACTATTCTTCCTTATAAGGGCAATGTAGGGATTATGATCCCTAAATCCTAAAACTCTAAACCGTAAACCCTAAACCCTGAACCCTGAACCCTGAACCCTAAACCAGTATCTTTTGTTGATTTTTTTGGGGCTTCTTAAGGGGAAATCACCTCTTCAGAGTCCCAGAGGCCCTGAGCCTCTGCAGACAAGGCCTCCTCTGCCGAAACCCCATACCCCATACCCCATACCCCATACCCCAAACCCTAAACCCTAAACCCTAAACCCTAAACCCCCTCAAACACCTGAGCATGTGCGGACAAGGACTCCTCCGCATCGGCAAGCTGGCGCGAGTGCTTCGGACGCTGGGCTGGGCCCCACGAGCCCTGAGCTGTAGCCGCCCTAGGGTTTAGGGTTTAGGGTTTAGGGTTTAGGGTTTAGGGTTTAGGGTGTAGGGTGTAGGGTGTAGGGTTTATAGGGTTTAGGATCAAGGGTATAGGGTTCAGGGTTGGGACGTTCCCCCTTATACTAACAGTCCTTAAGAGGGATTATAGTCGGGGGTACTATAACCCCTAGGAAGGACTGTTAGTACATCCCAAGTTTAGGGTTTAGGGGTTTAGGGTTTCGGGTTTAATTAGGGTATGTCTTCTATTTTGATTTATATAAGATCCAGGTGCCGATTAAACACATTTTTGTACTAAGGTTCTAAAGGGAGTATACTGAGATTCTTGGGGGGGGGGGGGGGGGGCTGGTAAAAGGGTTGTGTGGGTATTGAGCATAGTTACCCTCAACCCTGAAGCCCTCAGCCGTAAACCCCTAAGCCCAACCCTAAACCCTGAATCCCTAAAACCCTGCACCCTAAAACCCTAAGCCCTAAATCTGAAAACCTGAACCCTAAACCCTAAACCCTCAACCCTCAACCCTAAACCCTCAACCCTAAACCCTAAACCCTAAACCCTAAACCTTAAACCCTAAACCCTAAACCCTCTTCCTTCCCAGGATGGTCACCATGAGCAGCGTCCTGTCTTCCTTGGAGCGCCTGGGCCTGCCACTAAGGGGGTTTAGGGTTTAGGGCGTTTAGGGTTTAGGGCGTTTAGGGTTTAGGTTTTAGGGCTTAGGGTTTAGGGTTTGGGGTTTGGGGTTTAGGGTTTAGGGCTTAGGGCTTAGGGTTGAGGGGTTTAGGGTTTAGGGATTAGGGTTGAGGGTTTTAGGGTTTAGGGTTTAGGGGTTTAGGTTTTAGGGTTCTGGGGTTTAGGGTTTGGGGGGGACGGTTAGTGGCTCAAGGGGGTCAAAGGGGCTTTAGGGGTAGCGTGGCGGAGGCTGTGAGGGTGATTTGGGGGGGGGGGGGGGGGGGGGGCCCCAAACCCTAAACCCTAAACCCTAAACCATAGACCCTAAACCCTAAACCCTAAACCCTAAACCCTAAACCCTAAACCCTAAACTCTAAACCCTTGGATCCCCCTCCCCAAGAACCGTCTACACAAGGCTGCTGATCAAGTGCCTCAGCGCCAGCCTTGACATGCTCCTGTGGACATTCTGCCTGCTGCTGGTCGCAATTGAGCGTTCAGCCTGAGGTTCGTTTTGCGTTTGGGTTTAGGGCTTAGGGCTCAGGGTTTAGGGTTTGGGGTTTAGGGTTTAGGGTTTAGGGCTTAGGGCTCAGGGTTTAGGGTTTAGGGTTTACAGACCGCGCCAGTTCGTTTCGAAGCCTGAGCCATGCAGGGCCCCTGCGAGGATTTTTTAAAGCTATCTAGAGTTTCTAAAGCGACCGGATGCCAATTTCAGCCAAGACAAAATGAGATGTTCCCCCTTATACAAACAGATAGGGGTTCTAGTATCCCAGTACCCTCCTACTATCATCTGCACATCCTTAAACGAACCCCCGAAACCCCCAAAACCCCAAACCCCAAACCCTAAAGCCCTCAAAAGCGGAAGTCCCCTCAAGCCAGAACTCCAAACGCGTTGGCCTTCCCCACCTCCCCTCCCGAAAGTTTCTTGTTTTATGTTATTTCTGCTTTTAGCGCTCCCGGGGGGGAGGGGATAGTGTAGGGTTTAGGGTTTAGGCGCTTAGGGTTTAGGGTTTAGGGTTTAGGGTTTAGGGTTTAGGGTTTAGGCGCTTAGGGTGCGAATCGGTGCTCCCATCTTCGAATTCTCAGGCTCACGTTCATCCAGTGCGTGGCCGGGATGGTGGTCAGCACACTCTGCAGCGACTTTCTGAAGGCGGGGGTGAAAATCGTTATTAGGGTCTAGGGGTTTAGGGGTTTAGGGTTTAGGGTTTAGGGTTAGGGCTTTGTCAGAGTTTGAACGCATTGCTCACATCCCCCAAACCTGGTCCTAAACCCAAAACCCTAAACCATAAACCCTAAACCCTAAACCCCTAAACTTAAGGCCTTGAGCTCGGAGCAGGGGCCCCCTAACCCTAAACCCTAAACCCTAAACCCTAAACTCTAAACCCTAAACCCTCAACCCTAAACTGAGGGCCTCACACTGACCAAGCTCTGAGCTTGGCTGGGGACATTCGGCGTTGGTGGTCTTGTGTGGCTTGCTCTAGATGCCCTGTGTATGGTTTTGTGTATACATCTATATGTATATATACATATATTCATCTTTTTATACATATATATACACATATATATATATACATACTAATTTACGCATCGCATGTATACATATATATATATATATATAGATGTATAGCCAGCATAATAAAAAGTGTGTGTATATATATATATATATATATTTATATGTATAGCCAGAATATACATAAGTGTGCTTCTGGGTACAGACATAGGTATAGACATGTAGGTTTGGATCTGTGGTTCAGATTTGTGGGCGTTAGCGAGTGTTGGAATTTGAGGGTCACTGCCTCCTTGGAGGAAAACGGGTGAGAGAACAGAAAGCTGAGTTGATGGTTTAGGGTTTAGGGTTTCGGGCTCAGGGTTTCGGGTGTAGGGTTGGAGGGGTCTGTTGGGGCTTTAGGGCTTTCGGGTTTAGGGTGTTGGGTAGGGTAAGCACTAATTCTGTCGACTTGAAGGCCTTTAGGGTTTAGGGTTTAGGGTCTAGGGTTTCGGGTTTCGGGTTTAGGGTTTAGGGTTTAGGGTTTGGGGTAATCATATATACATATATATATATATATACGCTTTAAGGGGTTATATAGGGCCCCTCATTCTCTGATTATCTACTTGGGGGTTCATGGTACTGATTGACCCATTATAAGTGTACTTATCCATGTACTTACAACCCTATTTAGGGCACTTAAGGGGGCTTATAAGTACAGTTAGAAGTACAGTTCTAATTGGTTAATAAGTACCATGAACCTCCAAGTACACCCCTAACCCCTGCACCCCTAAACCCCTACACAGTGGGCCCTTTTAGATGGCCAGTTATAAGTCACTTATACTAGGATGCCCAGTAGTACCCTTATTCCCTTTTTGGGGGGTTTAGGTTCCCTTATAAACCCCTTTAAAGCAAAAAAAGGGCACCCTTTTTAAGCCCAGGTTACTGGGCAGCCTAGTATAAGTGACAAGTACTAAGAACCAGCCCTGAGAAGTTATCCCTGGCTCAAGGATGCGGGCCAGAACATCCAGCTGCGGGAGGAGGTGTACCGAAGCTTCCCAGACAGTCAGAGCGTTTGCAGGCCCTAAACCCTAAACCCTAAACCCTAAACCCGAAACCCTAAACCCTAAACCCTAAACCCTAAACCCTCATCAGCTTGGAGCCTATTGAAACCCTAAACGCGACATGGCTCAAGGTTCGGGAGGCTGCGGGTGGTCTTCACATGGGCCCGGTCCGGGCAGAAAAAAGTAGGGTTAGGGTTTAGGGTTTAGGGTTTAGGGTGTAGGGTGTAGGGTGTAGGGTGTAGGTTTTAGGGTTTAGGGTTTAGGGTTTAGGGTTTAGGGCTTCGGTGTTGGCTTGGGGAGCTCGGTTAGCTGTTGAGCTCTCGCCGAGTTCGGCGGTCTCAGGATACTACGGCACCTTTACGCGGACCTTCCTGACCATGTTCGAGATCCTGCTCCTTGTCGGAGTAGGCTACAGAACCTGAGCGTGGGCTGTGGAGTTGGAGAGTGTAAGGGAAAAAAGGCATAGGGTTTAAGGTTCAGCTCCAAACCCTAAACCCTAAACACTAAACCTTAAACCATAAACCCAGTGTTCGGGCCGTTTAGGGTTTGAGACTGGGAGTTTGTAGGGCTTGGGAGTTTGTAGGGTTTTCGAGGTGTTTAGGTTGCCAAGGTTTAAGGTCCAGGGCTTTAGGCTTTTAGGGCTTATAACGTTTCTGGATTCAGTTCAGGGTTTTGACGTTGTCTTTTTTTGTTTGTGTCGTGGGGTGGGGGAGGGGCCAAAGGTTCATCCAGGACCCAGAGTAAGCCCTTATTCCCTCTTTTGCGGTTTCGGTTCTCGTATAAGCCCCTGCAAGCCAAAAAAGGGAGCTTTCCTTCCTAGGTGACTCTTGGGTCTAGCTTTTTGAGGCTCGGGGGGGGGCTTGAACCGGGTCCGGTTGGAGGTTCGGGTTGTGCTCTCCCTTCCTGAAAAGGGTTTCGAGGCCACTCTGCTTCCCAACCTTCACAGCCTCTGCGCCATATCGCGGCAAATCCTGAACCCAAAGCCCTGAACCAAACCCTTAACCTTTCACCCTAAACCTTTAACCTTCAACCCTAAACCCTTAACCTTTAACCCTACACCCTAAACCCGTAGCCCTGAACCCGAAACCCGAAGCCCGAAACCCGAAAGAAGCCCTAAGCGGCCGAGGTTCGCGAACTGGGGCCCTCCCTGCCGGGTCTTGGTGGAGAACGTCAGCGAGTGGTTCTCCGTCTTCTTCCTTCTCTACCGATGCGTGCGACCCGACGTTCATCTTCCGGGCACATTGAAACCCTGATCCCCACGTAGGGTTTAGATTTTTTTTTTTTGCGGGGGGGGGGGGGGGGGGCTGGTGTGGTAAGGGTTTAGGGATTTAAGGGTTTAATTGAGGGCGCAAGGGTTCGGCTGAGGCTTGAGAACTTAGCCTGAGGGGGGGAGGGACAGCAGGCTTTAGGGTTTAGGGTTTAAGGTCTAGGTTTACCCTACCCTAAAACCCCAAACTTGCCCTAAGTTGGTGTTCTCCGAGTAGGAGGGCTGATTCTGTCAAGCGGCTTCCGAAGTTCTTTGTAGCGCAAACTCCAAACCCTAAAGCCCCTAAACTCCAAACCCTAAACCCCCGACATCCTAAACCCTCCAACTGAACACCGTGTTCCCGGGAGAAAGCCAATATCCGCTGCCGCCCCACGTAGCGACCTCCCTGAGTTGTTCAGGCTTGTCGGTATAGGGCCCTCTGCGCGAATCCTCGGCCCCAAGCCCTAAACTCTACAAGCCCTGAACGCCAAACCCTACACCCGAATCTCGCCGGAGCCCTATGAACCCCAAAAGCCCCTAAAACCCTAAACCAGTAAGCCTAGGACCGGGAGTAGACCCTTTTTTCCTTATTTTAGGGTTGGGGTTCCCTTATAACCCCCCTTAAAACCAAAAAGGATGCCCTTTTTATTCCTAGGTTACTCCCTGGTCTAGCCCTAAACCCTAAACCCAAAACCCAAAACCCGAAACCCAAAACCCTAAACCCTAAACCCTAAGCCCTAAACCAGTAAGCCCTTTCAACCCCAACCAGGCTGGGCTTTGCGGTTTTAAATGTCGCGACCTCGGGCTTCATTTGCATGCCATTGGCGGTCGGACCTTTGCATAGATATGTCAAGTTTTCTGGGTTTTGAGGGCCTCTTATCCAGAAGGTGTGTTCAGATTCTGGGGGATAGGAGGATCCCGTTTAGAAACTTGTCAGAGGGCTTAAAGGGCCAACAGGGGCCAGCCCAGCATTGGAACGTGAGGTGTGCTAGGAACGTTTCTAGGCGAAGCGGTGCACAAGGAGGTCATCCTCATGTAGTAGAAGGTCTCCCTTCATACCTCCAAAGGTATTGATTCTCCCCTACCCCTTCCCCCCCTCCTCGAAAAAGAACAACTGAATAGACAAACAATAACAGACAAGTGTTCGTATAGCAATACAAGCTACCCAGCATGCCAGGTCCATTTGCACAGACCCCCAACTGTATATACCCTTAGCCCGAAGTAAACTTCGTACCTGAGTGAGTACACTTTACACTTTTTGGGGGAACTGAAAGTGTACGCTGTTTGGGGGCTTACGAACTCAGCAACTAAGTAAATAAGCCCCAAAATGAGGAGCTCCTCAGGGTCTGCAAAAGCCGCAGGCTTGCTTACACTGCTACCCCCGTACCATTACAGATTCCCAGAGTAGTACAGCTTAAGTATTATATGGGGGTTTGCGAAAATCGGGGTACCCTGTTTGGTTCCTTCAAAAGGATTATACAGTATTTTGGGGTTTCCTAAGGTTCGGAAATCCACATATAGGGAAGGCTACCATTCTGGGGGGGTTTGAGTACTATAGGGGGAGGGATCATGTTGAGACATGCCCGGCCAATGCTGGCATATCGGTGTTGCGGTCATGCCATCGTTGGCTTTGAACTGATTGTCAGGTCGTGAACGCTGTGTTTGTGCAGCAGACGATGAAGACCGCGAGCTCGGATGAGGAGCTTGCTTTCAAGCAAAAAGAGAGGGACATGGCGGCGTACCTTGGGTGGCATCATGAAAGTTCGCTACCTTTTCGGTTGTTGTTGCTGCTGTTGCTACCGCTGCTGTTGTTGCTGCTGCTGTTTTCGCTGTTGCTGTTGCTGCTAGCTGCTACCATTGCTCTCACTATGAACTTGTCCTCCGTGCAGTGGACTGGTTGTTCTTTGCGTGCGGAAGGCTTCGAAGCTTGTCAACCTAAACCTTGGGAAGTTCCCCTATTAAAGGACTGTTAGTCTAAGGGGGAACATCCCAAACCTAAACGCTAAACCAGCACAAGCAGCACTCCACCTTCCAGCAGTTTTTGCTTCGGTGATAGACGGGAAGCAAGGCCTGCAACAGCAGAAAACACTTGTCACGGGTTCCCCTACTACCCCCCCGTATACTACCCCCCCCCTCCCCCCCCTCCCCCAAATTTCCCCCCCCAGAATTAAGGTTCTTCAGGGATAGTTAAGCCTAGTTAAGGTTCTTTAAGAGGGGTACCGAGGGAGGCAGCATAGAGTGGGGAATTAGTAGGGGAACCCATGAAATTAGATTCTGGCCACACTGCGTCCATGTTACTCTCAGCACAAGGAGCATGGTGGTGGAAGCCCCTCTTGGCACTTCCTCAACAGGGTTTAGGGTTTAGGGTTTAGGGTTTAGGGTTTAGGGTTTAGGGTTTAGGGTTTAGGGTTTAGGGTTTAGGGTTTAGGGTCCCAACAATCCCATTTGGAAAGCCAGAAAAGTGCAAGGAAGACGACTTGTTTTTGGGCTCTGCGATTAAGGCTGACGCAATCTCAGGTGCCGTTCCAGATGCACCCTAGGCCCTAAACCCTAAACCCTAAACCCTAAACCCTAAACCCTAAACCCTAAACCCTAAACCCTAAACCCTAAACCCTAAACCCTAAACCCTAAACCCTAAACCCTAAACCCTAAACCCTAAACCCTAAACCCTAAACCCTAAACCCTAAACCCTAAACCCTAAACCCTAAACCCTAAACCTAAACCCTAAACCCTAAACCCTAAACCCCCTAAACCCTAAACCTAAACCCTAAACCCTAAACCCTAAACCCTAAACCCCCTAAACCCTAAACCCTAAACCCTAAACCCTAACCCTAAACCCTAAACCCTAACCCTAAACCTAAACCCTAAACCTAAACCCTAAACCCTAAACCCTAAACCCTAAACCCTAAACCCTAAACCCTAAACCCTAAACCCTAAACCCTAAACCCTAAACCCTAAACCCTAAACCCTAAACCCTATACCCTATGCCCTATACCCTATACCCTATACCTTAAACCGAACATATCCTCCCAGAAGGTGGTTCAGAAAAACACCGATGGGTAGTTTCCGAAATAAGGGTCCCTTTCTGGGTACCCACGATAAGGCTGCACCCTCTAAAAGGGATCCCAAAAAGGGAGCCGAATTTAGAGTACTACCCAGATGAGTGTCTACGACCACCTTTTTCTTCAAGGCGGATGCGGGCGACCAGCAAAGGCCTCCCAAAAACTCAGAAGATGACTCCAAATGACGAAAAGATGTTTGATGATAAATACCAAAAAGAGTGCTTCTGCAAGAGACATCTAGAACTAGGGTTGAGGGTTTAGGGAAGTTTATGATTTAGGGTCTAGGGTCGTAGTTAGACCTCACATGTGTTGTTGAGCAGTTGTGGGCTCCAACTGCTCAGGTATGCACGGAAAGTGCGGCGCTTGTTTCAGACCATGGACGACTCGCATGATGGGGCTATCAGCTTGGAGGCCCCAGGGTTTCACTCACTTATGGGGTTCAGGGTCTAAGGTTTAGGGTTTAGGGTTTAGGGTTTAGGGATGAACGTCTGACACCAAGTTCTTCTCAGCGTGGCTCATTGCTGATCTTCGTCCTTCACGGCATGTGGATGTTCTAGAGGATGTGGCGCTGGCTTTGTGTGCATGCCATATACCCCTTATACCCCTGATATAGCCCGAATAAACCCTAAACCCTAAACCTTAAACCCTAAACCCTAAACCCTAAACCCTAAACCCTAAACCCTAAACCCTAAACCCTAAACCCTAAACCCTAAACCCTAAACCCTAAACCCCCCTTAATGCCCTTTGTGCAGCAGGAATTCTCGAAGTTGGTCAAGTCGCCCAAGCTGAAGTTCTGGATGAGTCAATTGGAGTTGCGTGGCCATGGGGACAGGGGGGGATTTTGGGAGGCAACCAGGAGTCAGATCAGAGTGGCTACGCTTAAGCCCCTAAACCCTGAACCCTGAACTCTAGAGTCTGGCTGAGTCTTTGCAGCACCCGTGCTCGCAATCGACGCGCGTCCAGCTGCAGGTAAACCCTAAACCCCAAAAACCCCCAAACCCTAAACCGCAAACCCCACTTACTGAACCCTAAACCCTAAACCCTAAACCCTAAACCCTAAACCCTAAACCCTAAACCCTAAACCCTAAACCCTAAACCCTAAACCCTAAACCCTAAACCCTAAACCCTAAACCCTAAACCCTAAACCCCCAAACCCTTAGAACCATCAAGGCTGGAGTACCATGACCTCCTTAGCCTCTTTGAGTTCCTCGACAACGGAGATGAGCAGATAACTTTGCAAGAGTTCATTGAAGGACACGGGTTCTGAGTTTAGGGTTTAGGGTTTAGGGTTTAGGGTTTAGGGTTTAGGGTCTAGGCAGGCCCTTGCGATGCTTTTTAATGTTTCCCTTATTGGGTTTAAGAGGACTACATGTAGGGATCTGTTGCGGAGGGTTCTAAGGGCCATCCTAGTAGTGTTTCGTTCATCTTAACACCTCGACTGCTTGTTGTTGCCAGCTGGAAGCGATCTGATCAAGGGCTGCCTGGCTTTGGTAGCGTACCGGTTTGGTACCCTAAACCCTAGTCTAGGGTCATCCTAGACCCTAAACCCTAAACACTAAACCCTAGACCCTAAACCCTAAACCCTAAACCCTAAACCCTAAACCCTAAACCCTAAACCCTAAACCCTAAACCCTAAACCTTAAGCCCTAAACCCTAAACCCTAAACCCTAAATCCTAACGGCGTGGACTTGCTTCCACAGTGCAGCGCTTGAATTGTAACGGGGTCGAGCTGCGCTTGCGGCACTTGCACGCCGACAGCAGGCGAACATGCATGGCTTGTCGTTGTCCGCCTTTACATTGCCATGTGTCGGTTGGCCGATGGGAGAGAGAAAGCTTTGGTATTAAAGGGTCCCAGCTTGTTGGGTGGCTTCGGGTTCCCATTGCTGAAGATGAAAAAAATTGCCTCCAATAGTGGTCACGCGCTTTTTTGCAAACGGCATTCCTGTATAGTTCAACAAGAGACTCAGCAAGTGCACGACTGGGTCTCTCAATACCTGACGTTTACTGGTCTTTCGACCTCCGCCGTGGCCCCCTCAACGTTTGGGCCTTCCTCTCCCTTTCATTCCTCGTTTGCTTGGGGGTGTTGGCATGGCTCGTTCGTTCTTGGAGGGCCAAGCAGCGAGCTCAGCAAGTGCGTAGGCGCGAGAGCGCCGCCGTAAACTGAAACGTGAACTGGCGCAGCTCAGGAAAAGAGCGGCAGAGCTGACAGCAAAAGCGAGAGTACTCTTCGCCTTCCCACTGGGTGTCGGAAAGTAGGCTTAGGACGGGCCAGAGGGGTTGCAAGGCATAAAGTTCTTCGACTACGAGGAGCGAGAGCAGGTCTAGCATAGACCCTAAACCCTAAACCCTAAACCCTAAACCCTAAACCCTAAACCCTAAACCCTAAACCCTAAACCCTAAACCCTAAACCCTAAATCATCAACCCTAATCCCCACAGACCCTAAACCCCGAACCCACGTAGACAGCGACCTTCAAAGCCTCTGAAAGCAGGAGCATCCCGGTTGCGCGGTCATGCGAAGGCCCTGGACGCACGGGGCCTCAAAACCCGGCCAGAGGTTTAGGGTTTCGGGTTTAGGGTTTAGGGTGTAAGGGTTGCAGGGTTGCAGGGTTTCAGGGTTTCAGGTTTCATGGCTTCAGTGTTTGCAGGTTGCAAGGTTTGGGGTTTCAGGGTTTCAGGGTTCAGGGCTGAGGGTTTTTGGATGTGTTGTTGAGTCATGGTTGGGGGTTTCCCTAAGTCCTAGACCCTAAATCCCCTGAAGCTGCAGCGGTACACAGCGGCGTGGTCAGGACATACCGTTGATTTTTGGCACACGGAACAGACAAGAGTTGTGCTCCTGGGCCCAGGGCATCCCGAAAAGTCGGGTGGCGCACGACCAAAACCCCTTAGAACCCTTAGAAAGCGCGGGGGCGCGAATGCGTATTGACCTGGAGGGTAAGGCCTTGGTGGACCCTCGCAAGGCGGCGCAGCTTGCAGGTTGCGAGTTTCGGGGAACTGGGAATCTGGTATGATTCTGCGATGCCACCGTCCCGCTTGAGGCGATCACGAGCATAGGTGGCTGGGACTTGAGGCCGAAGCCTCAACCCTGAACCCTCAACCCTAAACCCCAAACCCTCAATGGCTGCCAGTCAGAGAGCACTAATACTAGCATTCCCTTATGGTGCCTATATGATTCTGCTACAAGAACCCCCCAAAACCCGATGCTAATTATCAATGCCCCTAAATTGCAGCGTCTAACCCGCGACTCATGAGCCTTGATCCCTGCACCCCCCCAAAATCCAACAGCTTGAAATAGGAATTGTGAAAGTTCAGGTTTAGGGCTTAGGGTTGAGGGCTTAGGGTTTAGAGTTCCCTGAATCCTGAAATTCAACAAACTTAAGATCGCAGGATCCTAACACCTCCCGGCGAGCTCATCTCCAGGGATGGCTTGTTTGGGGTTTAAGTTTTAGGGTTTAGGGTTTAGGGCTTCGGGTTTAGGGTTTATGGTTTGGGGTTTAGGGTTTGGGTTCAGGGTTGTCTGATTTCAGGCTTTCGCGGGGGCAAGGTTTTGGAGGCTTTTGCGCAGTGCATCATCCGAAGAATGAGATCCGAAGAGACAGGGCAGGGAACGTCCTTCCATGTGCAGACCAGCTTTAGTCAAGAGTTGTATCTATTGATAGAGCTTTAGTCAAGAGTTGTCTCCGTTAGTAGGATGTAGACAGGTTGCTCATGTTGATGTATTCGTTTGAATTTATTCACCGTATGTAACCAAAAATGTAATTTTTTTGGCAGTATTGCGTAGTACTTGCGCATCGGGCTGTTTCGTGCGATTTCGCAAACAGAAGCGCCATGACATCGGTTTTGCACTTGCTATGCAGCACGGACGCTCACATGGGTCTGATCTAGAGTCTACTACATAAACGCTCTCAGGCTGCAAGCACCCTGAATCCTAAACCCTGTCCAAATTATACTGAGGTCCCAAAAGTCCCTAAACCCGAAACCCTAATCCCTAAACCCCAAACCCTAAACCCTAAACCCTAAACCCTAAACGCTAAACCCTGAACCCTAAACCCTAAACCCTAAACCCTCTTAGCCAACCCAGGTCTGGCGTTTGGAGACCAAGCTGGAGGTGCTGTTTGAGGCTTCGGCCGGGTTGGGCTAACCAACCCTGAGCCTTAAACCCTAAACTAAACCCTAAACCCTAAACCCTAAACCCTAGACCCTAGACCCTAAACCTTCGCTTCCCCTTCCCTCAACGCGACATTTCAGGGCTTATGCCCCTCGAAGCCCTAAGCTCTAATTCTAGAAACCTAAACCCTAAACCCTAAACCCGAAAGCCTAAACCCTAAAGCCTAAACCCTAAACCCTAAACCCTAAACCCTAAACCCTAAACCCTAAACCCTAAACCCTAAACCCTAAACCCTGAACCCTAAACCCTAAACCCTAAACCCTAAACCCTAAACCCTAAACCCCTGAGAAGCTATGTGCGCCCTGAGGAAGTATTGCGGTCGCAGGCGAAGGACCTGTCCCCGCAGCTCTCTTCGTTTGTGCCTCGGCTGAAAAGACATCCTGGACCCCAAGCCCAAAACCCTAAGCCCTTAAACCCTGACACCGCCTTAACCTCAAGCCCTAAGCCCTACAGTAAACCCTAAAACTTTTCCTATAGGGGTCATTATACTAGAATGACCCCCAAAGCCCTATTCTAATTATTCAAGCCCCTATATTAACGTGTTGAAGCCTTCAAGCATCGGAGCCAGGCATGTTTCGGCAAGGTATTATGGGGGTTAGAGGTGATTTGGGCAGAATTCAGGGTTCATAGGGCTTTTTATACAGAAGTTAGGTTTCCGAAGGGCAAAAAGGGTTGCCTGAGAAGCGACACCCCGAAGTCAACGAATCGTTGTGCTGGGCTATAACCTTGAATTCTCTCGAAGCGACACCTGAAGACATCAAACGTGGACAACTGATGTTAAAACCCTGTAGAGCGATGCGAACACTTGAAAAGAGAGACCCTCCACTAGCATCGCCAGCCGGTTGTGGCAGTCGCTCATATGGGCGGCTGTCAAAATTCTGGTCCCTTTTCGGATCCCTACTACAATGCGGCACCTAATCTTTAGGGCACCCAAAAAGGGACCATCATTTCCCCAATACAATACGGCACCAATTATTTAATATTTAGGGTACCCCAAGAAGGGACCATCATTTTGACAACCACCCATATGTTGTGCCAAATTTCGTGGCGCTGGGGAAAAGCCCATCGCCATGCCACAGACAGGCAAGTGATGGCTGACTCGTCTTAATTATTTAGTTAGACTCCCTCTTAGTCGCCAAGTCCGCATGACCGATTGCCTAGCCCTAAACCCTAAACCCAAAACCCTGAACCCCGAACCCTGAACCCGAAACCCTAAACCCTAAACACTAGGCTTCGTTGCGCCTTCCGAGCTCGAAGGGGTCAGTCCCATGCAAAATGTGGCTCTTGAGTCGGTTCACGTTGTTTGGGGGTTTAGGTTCGCTTCTAAGCACCTTTAAACCCAAAAAAGTGCACCCTGGTTTTTTCTAGGTTCCTCTTGGGTCGAGTGACTCGTTCCATAGACAATTTGTGTTCCTTGAGTTCGAGTTCGGGCGCCCCCGCCGCCGCTATTGCCCTTCGCGATTTCTTGGATTTGGGAACCTCAGTGACATTTGCTATGCACAGGCTGCCTATACGATTGGGAACTAATGAGAACAGGACCCAATGCGGTCGTCCAGTTCGAACCTGAGCACAAGCACCAAAGGTTCAGGGAACGAGGTAGGGTGGCTATACACAACAGCTGCAATCAGCAGGACCGCCAAGGGGC